ACAGACCCGCAGAGAAAGAGTGATGCTGGGCATCAAGAAGCTGCTAGACATGGAGAAACCTCGTTTCCTCCCCAGTACTCCACAAGAGGTAGAAATAGTGTTTTAACTTGTAGCTCTGGTGCAAATACTCTGCACTGACACATTTCATGAGTTGGCTGTAGCTTCTTAACACTGTACTTGTACAGTATATAAAAACAGTAGGAATGCAACCAGACTTGCTGCAGCCTTGATGAATTTTTCACAAACTCTGTTTTGCAGCTTAGAACACTTTGACATTTCTCACACTGAGAAGCAGACCATACAGTAAGCGTCTGCTTTCCTGCTCTGCCCTAAACGAGGTTTCATTTCCTCCCTGGTGTGGCTCTGGCGATACGCCCTTGGGGCTGGCTGTAATCTCTGGCCAGGCCTGTTCATGCCTTCAGCTAATGCCGGAAGCTCCAAAGGAATGAGATAACCAGCTACTTCTTCTACAGCATCATTTATAATAACAGTTCAAGATGACTTTTGTGAAAATACTTGGGTCAGAATATTCAGAACTGACCATTAGATAAATACAGACGAACAGAAGGCATATGTTGCACAATGAGAGTTATGAAATAGCTAAAGGCACAAGTTAAAAGATGTTGCAAAGGCGTGACACAACTGGTATGGCACCCTTGGCGGACAGAGACACAAGAGGGAAGTTACTCAAGCTGATAAAATTAGCTACCATGAATGTGATAATCATACTCTTAGCAGTATATAACTATGTGATTAAATATGCCTCAGTCTTCTTCTTCCCATTGTGACTCTCTTTTTTGTGTGTGTGTGTGTTGCAGGTGCCAGTGATAGCCATAGCAGGCTCAGGAGGCGGTTTCCGTGCCATGGTCGGCTTCTCAGGTGTGATGAAGGCCTTGTTTGAGTCTGGGGTCCTGGATTGTGCCACATATGTTGCCGGCCTCTCTGGATCCACATGGTCCGTCTTATTTCTCCTTTCCTTCTTCCTCTTTATGCCTAGCCTTTCTCTGACATTTTATTTCTAAAGAGGCTTCCTCTCTTTATCTCTACCTTAATCTTTGTTGCCACTGTTTCTTTTGTCCTCTCTTTATTTCCAACTCTCTGTCAGTATTGCCTCCTCCCTGATCTGGCAAACTTTCCTGTCTCCCCTGCTGGTATGAAGCTGTCATCGAGCAAGCACATCTGGCTTATTTCAGTCTCCAGCTTCATGTTTTCTAGTGACATAGTGGCTTTAACTTCCTTACAAGTACAGTATCTCCCGCATAAACCTTTTCATGAAAGAGATGAGTGAAAGTTTTAAGCATGTGTTAACTGATCTGACAACACTTTACAATGCATTTAGATTAGCTTCGTTCTAATGTTCTTCCTTACTCTGTATACCTGTAGGTACATGTCCACCCTCTACTCCCACCCTGACTTTCCTAATAAAGGACCAAAGGATATCAACATGGAGCTGATGAACAGAGTTAGCAGCAACCCCCTGAGGCTGTTGCTCCCGCAGCACATCACCAACTATATCCAGGCCCTGTGGACAAAAAAGGCTGCAGGACAACCGGTTACTTTTACCGATATCTTCGGGATGCTCATAGCAGAGACCCTCATACCCGCGGTAAGACTCACCTGACAGCTGTTGTTTGTTAAACTGTAGCATCGGCTGGGCAAAGGAAGGGCACAGCACAACACTGCACACTCAACTGCCCCACCAGAAACCCCCTGAACTGCCCCCACCTGGTCCTGCTGCTGGGGAGTGCTGGGTCAGCCCCCTCTGAGCCACACAGGAGCCCCCACTTCTGCTGGCAGGGAAAACAACCTGTGGGGCTGCTGCCTGTTGTGTGGTGGTGTCCCGGTCCTCAGCATGCCAATCACACCAGCTCGTCTTCCTTCTGTAGCTTCTCTTGTACAAGCCCTCACTGGTTTGCCTTGGTTCAGTGCACACTGCTTGGGAAAGCGGTGTAGGTGTGGATGAGCACCTGGCTGGCCCTGGTGGTGCAGATGACCCTCCGGCCAGCCGCTCCAGCATTACAGTTGGGCACAGCCCTTCCCCACCAGCAGTGTGGAGAGCCATCCACACCAAGCATAGCCCCAGGGACATCCACCATGGCCCCCTACACCGCCAGCAGGTCATGACCGATGATGCATGGATCTTGAATGTTGGCCAGCCCGAACCAGTGCTCAATGGTTTGGTCAGCAACAGTCACTCTAACCGTCTCTTCTCTCCCCACATCTTTGCACTCTCGCCAGTGACTGTGGTGATGCAGTGTTTAGTGGTCCCTTCCAGGGTCTTGGCCTTTCTGTCCCTGGGTGCACCAGGGAGATGATGGACCCTGTGTCCACCAAGGCATGGCATTTGGTGTTGTTCACTTCACAGTCCAGATATAATCCATGGCAGCTGACCTTCACTTGTGGCAGGTTGCGCATAGATGAGCTGTGCAAGGGTGTTGGGCAGTTGCGAGCAATGTGTCCCAGCTCGCCACATTGTGTTGCTCAGCTGCTCTCTTAGCAGCGACCTGGCTGGCTAGTTCCTCCTGCCTACTACACTCGGTGCTCCGGCCTGGGGGGACACAGCATGGGCCATAGCATTTCTTATTTTACTTTTACACAGCCATGGCAGTCATACTGACTTAAAGATCTGTGTACTACCTGCAGATTAATATGTAAAAATACACAGAACATTGGCTGCAAGAGTAGATGATGATTCAAACACTGTGCTCTCTCTCCTACCAGAGGATGGACACCAAGCTAAGTGACATCCAGGAGAAAATAAAACAGGCCCAGAGTCCTCTTCCTCTCTTCACATGTCTGCATGTCAAGCCAGATGTTTCTGAGCTCATGTTCGCAGGTAAATATATGTCTTTATGTGAGTATCTGCATATGCTTTTACTGTATGTTAAATTGTGTGTTGCATGAAACCCATGTCCCTAGCAGACCTTTTTTGCATAATAAGTAACTACACATGCAAAACGGCCAAGTAGTTCCTTATAACACTTTTCTGCTATCACAGAGAGGATGTTTCATAATGTGGTGCACTGTCATTGGGTGCTCTATGGTATCAGATAGCAACTGAGCTATATCGAGGAACAGAGCAGTGTGCACAAGGCCATGATATATTCTGGTTAGTCCCATGTTGTACACACTTCCTCATAGTTGCTGTAGCCTGCATATTAACTGTATACTACACTTAAGTGGTACGGACATTGGAATAGAAAATACAATAAAGGAACAAAAAAAATCGGCAGGGATCTTGGACAGATCAATGATAATAAACATACACATGCTGCTGGCTTTAAGACTAGAAATCACAGGCTTACAGTAAGACTCAAGTGGGGGAATGTCCTTTGGAGCTGAAGCTGTTGTGTAGTCACTAAGAAGAAGACTGACTTTGAGCATGTTTTGAGTTCAAACTCCAGCAGGTATTGTACTAAAAAGCGCAAAAAAGGCAAAGGTTGTGTGCACACCCAACCCAAATTGGGCACAGGGGCAGGACAATAACACCAACCTGGAAGAAAAACGATTATTTGCCTGATGAAGACCATGTTGGTTGAAGCACAGCATTATCTAATAAATGTATTCTTCTAGTGTATTTGTTCAATATGCCACAAAAATATCTAATTGCATGAACAGAACTTCCAATTCAATTCTCATATCCTCATTCAGAGTTGAACATTTTGCTGAGTGTGAGTTTTGTTGTTACAGTTTGGAAATTGCTTAATTTCACGTGTCTGTCTGTTTTGATCTGGGTAGCTCAGAAATTTAAACAATCACACTGAGAGAAGCTCACAAAGCCCAAAGAAAACTGGGACAATGATACGGTTACCTGTTTACATGTTTTTAGTTCTCATCATCACACCCAAACTTTTTAAACTGTTCTCTGACCTAAAATCTCGGGTTTCTTTATGACCCAGCTCAAAAGAAAATATCTCACTGTCAAAATACAGCTTACAGGACAACTTCAATTTTTTTAAATCTGCTGTATTACCTATAAAAGTGGGTATGGTGACTGTATATCTAGTGCTAATTTTGCTATCACTACCTTTGTTGTACAGATTTGGGGAAATGAAGTCATGATAAACTATGCTATTGGAGCAGCCGGTTACCCTCTGAAAGTGCTCAGAATAAACATGATTTAAAAAATACATTTCTCACACTTAACTCTGAGTCAAAAGGCAAGTGAATACAAGATGTAGGCTGCCATCTGGGGTAGCCTTTGCAGCTAACTGCCTAGGAACATACTGTACATCTGGGTCAACTTGCCAGCTGATCTGATGATTAGGTAATCATCCTATTTAAGAATAGCTCAGCTGAGAAACAAAACTGTTATAAGGTTACAGAGGTTTACTATTTCTATTGTGTCTCTGTGAATGTCTGTGTGCTTCCAGCATGTTAGTAAAAATAAAAATCACCCTAACATTAGCAGCAGGGCTCTACAGTTGACAGTGTCAGTCAGTTTAGAGTGAAATATTTATTATTAGAGTGACTGCCATGAAACTTTGTATAGACATTCATGGTCCCCAGGAGGATGAATCCTACCGGCTTTGGTGACCCTGTTAATTTTCCTTAAGTGCCACTAGCAGGTCACATTTGACACATTTTCAATAAAATATCTCAACCTCTTTGTGATTGATTGGCATTCATGGTTGTCAGAGGATGATAACTTTGGTGTAAAAGTAAAACACCTCAACTAGGGATGCAAAAATAACCAATAATGGGTTAATGCATCTATTTCTATTAGTCCAATACTTTTGTTTATGACTTATGAGCTGCAAAATGAATGACTTTTTAACCAGCCTCAGCTGTTCGTTGTATCTGATGCTAGTTTGTAAAATGAAGTAGCGTAATGACTACACCTACATAGCATCAATATGTTAGCACTGTCATTGCGAGCATGGCTAGCATGCTGAAGCTGTGTCTAAGGACAGCTCTGCCTACATTAAGTACAACCTCAAAGAGCTGCTAATTTAGATGTAAATTATGTAAATTCGTAGTTTTGTTGTATTCGGTGGTTCAGGGTGAGTGTGGCATCTTCAAGTACATACATCGCATTGCGCAGCAGTAATTGCTTATACCAATGAGGTTCTTTCCATATATTGTCAAATGCAGCTTGTCTGTAACCAAGTTTTACTTATGGTGTAGTCAGTAAACAGGAGCTTACTGAATATTATTTTGTGTTTATGTTTTCTCTTACTTTAACACTGAGCTTTCAACTTGTAGACTGGGTGGAGTTCAGCCCATATGAAATTGGGATGGCAAAGTACGGCACCTTCATGACCCCAGACTTGTTTGGAAGCAAGTTCTTCATGGGAACTGTTGTGAAGAAATACCAGGAAAACCCTCTTCATTTTCTGATGGGTAAAAAAGAAGTTTTCATCCATAGCATTAAACACAATACCAAACGTTCTTCCATGACACTGACAATGTGTTTTTGGTGTGTCAGGTGTGTGGGGAAGTGCCTTCTCAATACTGTTCAACAGAGTGCTGGGAATCAAAGGCACGAGTGGTGGTAGCACTATGGAGGAGGAGTTAGGTAATCTTCCTCTCTTTCTTTGTTTTCAGACTAAATAAGCTATAAATAATGCTTCTTTGCAGGGTTAAGTGCAAATCAATTAATAAAATGTGCTTGACTGGAACAAGGCTGTTCAAGACCTTTAAGTCATATTACGTGATCTTCATTAACAGATGGTGTTTGTTTAGTTGTCAGGGAATTGCAGATTTGCACATTTTAACTTTTCCCCGGCATTTTAAGGACTTGCCCTCCATGATGGCTCTGTAAAGGATTATGTGATTCAATTGAACAGGCACTAAACAGACCAAATGTTTTGTCCGTTACTGTTACTCAGGTAAGAAAAATATTTCAGTATAATCAAAAATGATACATTTTTCTACTTGTATCAATATATGAAGCTATGAGCAAAACAATTCAAGATAATAAACCAATTAAAAATGATGCAAGCTTTTTTTTAAGGTGCGCTATGTACGTAAATCAAGAAGAAAGGAGAAGCAAAATGCAACCTCTTACGGCATGAACTGTTCCAATTTTGGAACGCATTTTGAAATTGTGAATCCTGAAATATACAGGGTGTGTTTGTTTTCATATAATGTCTTTTGCTTTTGGTATGCACTGGCTTTCTGCTAAAATAATTTCCATGGAACACCCTCTGAACTGGCATTCACTTGAGATCCTATTGTTACCTGTATTGTCTTACACTTGCTGGTACATCTGTGCCAGCTTTAAATGCTCCTAGCAGTTACAATGTGTGGTGTGTGTGTGTGTGTGTGTGTGTGTGTGTGTGTGTGCTGTTACAACAATGGCAAGGTATCGTATTCCTGTGACGATTCTGACAGCTCATCGGATGTGCGTTTTGATTGAACGCATTTGTTTGGGGTGACCTTTAAAACACTCAGTCTGACAATGAACTGATTGTACAGAAAAATGCCTCCACCCAGTTAAAGAATGCATTAGTTTATTAGGTAGTCTATATTGCATTTCTTTCAGGACATATTTTGATGGAGTTAAAAAAGAGACAGTGAATTTGATAATGTCACATAACTTCTAATTAACAGGCTTAAGCTTAAAAATAACAAGCTTCATTTGAGTCTGTAACCTGATGAGTGAACCTGACTTGTACCTTACAGAACAGATCAAACCACAGCACATCGTCGGAGACTACAATTTGGACAATGACGACGAGCTACGCAAAGGTGAGCTACAATAAAATATTTGCATTCTACAGGTTTACAACCAGCACATTACTGCGCAGTAAAATTAAATTTGATGCTGTGCTAAATTAAGGCGGTCCAACAGTGATGTGTGACTTTGAATAGTATCAGTAAACACTTTGTTCTGTTTGAGGGAAAGTTAACACTAAATGGTGTGGTAATCTAACACAGCTACATCAGGCCGTCGCCGTCCAGTCATGAAAAAGTGCTGATGCTTTTACTTCTGCCTTTTTGGTCTGCAGATTTCTATTAATGAGGCTGTGCAAGCTCATTTCCAAGAAGTAAATTTTTTTTTTTTACATTAGAACTAAGATATAAAGAGGAAGAGAGAATGCAAGAAAATGGATGGGAAAAGAAGGTTAAAAGAGAGCAGACAAATTAATTCTTGTAGCTAGAAGTCTTTTTTTTAATAAAAATGCAAACCCAGTTCTTAAAAAAATACTTTTCAATTTTTGGGTTTAATTTATTAAGTATCTTTAAAACTTCAGGAAAGTTACTTTAAAGCATTTCTCTGTGAGATTCATGACTACAAGCAACACCCTTAGTCATGATTTATTTTGAGTACAATAATCAAAACAGCTCATCTGATTAATGAGGATTGTGTGGGTCCATGTTTGTGTACAGAAGGACCGTCATGCCATACCAGCTTAGTTAACAGCCTATACATAAATGTCTCATGTCAAATAAACAATAATGTCCTGACTTTAGCAGAGGATAGTGTTTTTATATGGCGTTGTTGCACATAGTAAAGACAGTAGAAGGTTGGCTGTCAGGACATTAGCTTTTAATACTTGTGTTGTATGACTGAACTGTCAGATTTGTGAAAATACCTCCTATATAGTACCCAACAAAGTTAACATTGCTCTGTGTTCAAATCACTTCATCTTGTGTTAAAGTCGGAAGTGGGGAGAAGCCTCGACAGGTTTCTGCCTGAGAAAAAAAGAGGCATCTTCAGATTAAATTTTAGATGTGATTCTTTAATAAAAATGTCTTTTGCTTTTAATGCTTGTACCATTGTGTATTTTAGGCATTTAGCTAACCTGTTTTAATTTAGTACCAATTAAGTTGCAAATTCTCCCAGTTTTATTACAAATGAAGAAACACATGCTGAGCCACCGTTAAACTGTTTGTCACAGGATTTGACTGTATTTTATCTGGCACTGTTTTGGTGCTCAGGTGGGACAGAAAGCCAGGAGGCAGAGGATGAGTATCATCGCACCGCCCAGGCCAGCTGGGTTCAACGAATGTTAACGTCGCTCTTCAGTGACTCTGCCCTGTTCAACACAAGAGAGGGACGGGCTGGGAAGGTACTTGAATGTGCTCCTTCAGCGTAAAATTATGTAACACAATTTGCAAAATGCTACATGTGCTGAAGCTGCACTCTTGCTTGCCTTGTCCTATATTCAAACTCACAACAATGTGCCTGTTTCTCCATAACTTGTTCTCACCCTGTCACCAGGTGCATAATTTCATGCTGGGCCTGAACTTGAACATAGACATCCCTTTCTCTCCGATCACTGGGCTCACAAGCCATTCCTGTCCACCTGAGGAAGAGGTGGACGCGGTCACAGGTAAGAAAGATAGAAGACTGTTACAGTTCACTTTTCAAAACGATATTTATAGCAGTCAAGTAAGTGAAAAACAGGTCTGACGTGAATTTTACATCACATGACACGTTTTACAGACACGTTTTGATTCTACAGTTTCTTGATAATCCAGTCGGGCACTGTTTACAAACTGTATCCAGCCACAGTGGGAATGATAGTAAAACATTTGAAAACAGATACTGTAAGTGTAACTGAAAAGTAGTGAGTCCTAAAACCCACAACCAAGTTAACATTCTTGCACTTCTGGTTCCCTTGCCCTGACGTCGATGGGTTTTGTGAATGAGTTTTTTTTGGTTAGACACATAAAACAAGTTCTGTGGTTAACAAAAGGCCAATACATTTTTATGTTTTGTTCTGTGATATAAAATACACTAGTAAATACCCCACTTGTGATTTTTATTGCTAAAAAAGGTAGCTGCTAACCATTGGCTAAATGAGACTACAGAAGCTGTCTGGGATATTAACTGTCATCAAGGAGACTCATCTAAACTGGTCCACCTTCACAGCCTTGTTATTTTTAAACTCACGCACTTGCAAACCGTTCTAACTAACGGACACTGCCATGATCACTAGCTGGATCAGGTCACACTAAGAGGGAAGGATTTAAATCAAATTACAAGTTGGAAGCCATGGTGGTGGCGGCATTGAAGTCATATGGGACTGTGGTGTAGTTTGTTCATAGTCTAACAATAGCTTTTTACTTCCTGCGACTGTATTTGGGCTTCAAAAATCATAAACGTGGTGTTCACCTGTGAAGGTTATCTTGCTGAACAAAACATGTACTGAAAGAGATTTTCTGCAATAATCCAAAAGCCTGGAAATAGAAAATTCTTACTGGCTTTTTGTCAAGGGAACCAGGGCAATGCCAGCTTCCAGGTTGGCCTGCCAAAAAAAATAAAAGTCATTCCTACAGCACTCTATAGCACCCTGGTCTTAACTTTCTAGTAAATGTATGCATTGTAAATCTAAGTATAGTTAAGGCTTGTTACGGACCCTAAGCTCTTAAACACTAATTTTACAATATTGTTTTCTTTTGTTAAAGCAGCATTAATTGATCTTCTGACATATTATCACCTGATATGCAAAGTTACATCCAGCAAACAAAGCAACGTTCATTTAAAGTTGTGCCCTTTTAGTTCTGCTCTAGCTCTGAGAGAAGTATCTGGCTCTTCAGCTCCGCTATGTTCAGCAGCTAGTTGCTATCTTTAGCTGTCTGCTGTTTGGTGTTGGGCAGGTAATGAACCAAAGGTTTGCAGTGTTTTTTTTTTCTGCTGAAAACAGTTGCAAATGATACTGACGGAAGAGAATAAACAAAACAGCAAAGCTGCCGGCTGCAACATTCTAAAGAGCTTCACAGACACGAGGGGATCTGTATAGTTGGATTCATGACTTTGAACGATGTCTTTCACAGTACAGGTAGACACTATTGTTAAATGGTAGTATTAAAACACCAGGTGTGGTGATGGCATCAGTTTGAAAATATTTCAAACCCTATTACCAGTGAGTATTTCACAGGTGAGTCATTACACAGTTAAATCAGTCTGCTCAGTCATGCAGAAGAAAATTTGGGTGCAGACAAGAAACTTTTCCATTCCTGTTGCACCATACCTTTAATTTTATATGATTTTCTCAGACCCTGATGAATTCGATCGCATCTATGAGCCTCTGGACGTGAAGAGTAAGAAGATCCATATAGTGGACAGTGGCCTAACCTACAACCTCCCCTACCCTCTCATCCTGCGGCCACAGCGTGGTGTTGACCTTATCATCTCCTTTGACTTTTCTGCACGACCGAGCGACTCCAGCCCCCCATTCAAGGTCAGAATGGACTAATTCCTATTGCAATCCATGCAAACAAGACATCAAGATCAGTGTTTTCTCATTTGTAAATTATGCCACAGGAGCTTCTGTTAGCAGAAAAATGGGCTCGAATGAACAAGCTCCCATTCCCCAAGATTGATCCCAAAGTCTTTGACCGCGAGGGACTGAAGGAATGCTACGTCTTCAAACCAAAGAAAGGAGAAAAGAACTGCCCCACTATCATTCACTTTGTCCTGGTCAACATTAACTTCAGGCAATTCAAAGCACCGGGTAAGCGAACTATGGAATTCCACCATATTCAGTCAGGCAGACCTTGCCAAACGTTGGGTTCCTCATCTGAGTGAAACCAGTAAAATAAAGTCTCTGTTCAGGGTTACTGAGGTTTCCTGGTGGAAATGTGTCTGATGTTAAGCATGCCTTCATCTTGCTATTTGTATGTGTTCGCATGTGGACATAAACCACAGTGTGTTGTAGGAGCTGTTCCAATGAATTATGGTTCATTAAGGAGCCAGGTGCTGGTAGGGAATCTTCTCGCTCTGGTGGGAGAGCTCTTTGTGTAAACAGGCCATGCATCATTAGACATACAAAGACACTAACACCACATATCCACATCTCTTTACATTCGCTAGGCCATCTGCCTACATACTTGAGCAGTCTGTTTACAGAGACTACATAAATGTCTTGCACTCAAACTCAGTAGACATCTGAAGGACTTAAAACCATAAATGGGCTTCCTGTTTGTGGAAAACATTACATAGGACCTTATGGAATTGCGTGTATTTTCAAAGTCACTGCTTTTCCAGCATCTTTTATCTTTACCCTTGTAATAATACAATATAGCAAACTGCTGAGAATCATTAGCAGTAATGTTTGCTCTTGGCTTTAGTAATAGTTAATAGGTTTACAAAACAACAGAATATTTTGATTAAAAGACAAAAACTACAATAGTAAATGGATCTTTATATTATTGCATTAAACAGTTTCCATATGGATAAAGGGGAGCAGATAATTCACTTAGAACGAAACTGCCAGTTTTGCAGTTCTATTCAAAACATGTTTAAAATCTTTACTTTAAAGAGTAACTTAACACCAGCCTGAGAAGTTGTGTTTTGCTGCCCTCTCTGGTTGAACGTTTCCAGCTTGTGTCACCTCCATACATGCCCAGCCGCACCCAATAGTGATGCTGGGTGGGTGTGCTCTGTTGCATGTGTAACCACAACACAATGTGTAACAGTGCTGTCCTGGACTACACCTGTACATCACCGCAGAAAGGTGAGGGTGGAGAAAAAAAAAGATTTTCAGGGGGATGTTAAGTTGCTATTCAGTTTTGCAGTAAAAAGCACCATAGAGTCATCACTTTTCACTCTACCTTTCATCTACAAAGAGAATTACTTATTTAATATATCTTATTCAAGTACACAATAGATTTTTATTGCCTCATTGGACTGTACATTTAAATGATTTAATTACAGCTTAAGTGGAATGTCAGAAATACTGTATATTCTATAGTTGATAAAACTAACAACACATGGTCTGGTGTTAGCATTTGTACGGATTTCAAATACATCACATGGTCTTTCTAAGCAGAAATTGAAATTGTAGATATCCAAATTGTAAAGCTCGTTCTTCACCTTCTAACAAAACAACCTCATCAAATCAATCAAAAGTACTTTTTTGTTGTGGTTTTCAAGGTCAAGAATGATGTTTGAAGGTCAGACTAACAAGGACAAGAAATCCATAAAGTGTTAGTGACAATTGGAAATTTGATGCCATGACTCCATCTGCTGAAGTGAGAGAAGTGAGACTGTTGCTGTTGTTTCCTAATGATAAACTTTTAAACACAACCAGTATCACACATTTTGTGCCACTTTTGATGCCAACAGTCTTGCAATCAGTTTTTGTAGATATGGATTTTTTTGATGTACTTACTTAGTGTATGTTCTTATTCATTTACTTGCAGGTATCCCCAGAGAGACTGAGAAGGAGAAGGAGTTTGCTGATTTTGACATCTTTGACGACACAGAGACGCCATTCTCCACTTTTAACTTCCAGTACTCCAACCAGGCCTACACCCGCCTCCATGACCTCATGGAGTTCAACACTCTAAACAACCTGGAGGTCAGTTTTGTCCTTTTGATTCTACTGCAGCATGTCTACTTCCAGGAATAAGGAGAAATTGTAGATAAGATTTCTGACATCAATTTACACCAGTCAATACTAATACCTGCAGTGTATGGCTACATTTACATCATAGGCCTTAATCCTGATTTTCTAATGTGTTGACTGTCGCTACAGAATTGTCAGTTTATTGTGCAAGGCCTCTCTACGACTGGCTACAACGAGTCTTGCTTAGTTTACAGTAGGCGTCACTATGTGAGGTCAAACTGACTTTCATGCTCTGAGTCACTTCCTTGCTGATTAAGGATTTTAATGTGATGCAGTGTGTTTGAGTTTAATGGCATGTCAGCTCACTGAGACTAATGCTGTCAGTAAAGATAATTCCCCAGATACCATGACTCAGGTGGATTTGAGCTCAGTTAGGCATCAGCGCAATCAACACCGTGTTGGTTATAAAGCCACCACTTTGGGCCAGTCTAAAATTTCTCAACAACTATGTGTTGGATTGCCTTGAATGTTCGTACTATAGACTGTATATAAAAATGAACAGTGTGACAGTTCCTACAAGTGAAGCCACTGCGAGTTGATCGCCCCCTGGTAGCCGGTTCAAGTAAAGGTCATAAATCTCACCCACTCCCATGTTAATGGATGGGACATAAGCCAAAATAAAAACTCAAAGTACAAATCAAAAACATTATTCCCAGAGGTGATTTCTGTCTTTTTTGGTAGCTATTAACATACTGACATGTGTACAAGTGGTTTCAGGAACATTTGTTTTTAATGAGTTATTTGATGGGGTGTATTTTGGATGATTTGACAGCCGTGGTTGGTGGTCCGATGCTGTCACCCCACTTCTGGCTGCAGCTGTGCAGAGTCTGGTTACAAAGAGCCAAGATGTCAGTTGGCGCATTCATGATATTTTTGCTTCACTTTTGCATAGTGGTGGGAAGTGGTGACGCGTCATCCATTTTTATATACAGTCTGTGGTTTGTAAATATATTCCTGGTGCCCAGAGGATGAATCTGAATGGGTTTGATGATCCCCTGAATTCTTCTAGCGCCACCTTAAGGTCGACATTTGTCAAAATTTTAATTTGACCAAATACCTGCAAAACTAATGACATTCTCATCAAATTGAGATGTGGTTTGTGTTTTTGCTTCTCAGCAAATGTTGCCTGAGCTTGTGAAAGACAGTACATCTTAATGGATTTGAATCTGCATTATTTGTCTTCATTAATAATACAATATGGCATTTTGGCTTTAACCCCGGTATTTGTCCCCTGTAGGTGATTAAAGAAGCCATTAAGGACTGCATTGTGGCACGGAAGGAGAATCCCTCATGCCACTCCTTTCCCTTCTCCCTTAGTGAAATCCCAAAAAAGAAGTCTCTCAAAAAAGATAAATGATAACCAGTAGCCTGTTTTGGCTAAGTTGGTCTTTGGGGATTTATAGATTCTACATTTTCTTTTTGGAAAATGTGATTGTATTGATTTATTTTCTGTATACTAAAACCAGGAGGATTTGTTATGCTCTGGGTGTGAGATAAGTGTTTATTAAAAAATCTTAACGGTTACTGGTAAATATCTCATGATTGCATTTATATACAACACATTGTGAATATTCATCTGGCTGTTATTTGCACAAATGTGATTGCTGAGAAAACGATTGGTGTTTATTAACCACAAACAGCTGATGGTCAGTTGCCCTGCACTCTGTAATAAAGACTGGCTGTTGAAAATCAGCATTTATTAAACACTGCACTGTGACTGGACTGTTACAACTAACATCTGGCTCTATCACAAACAACAGGAGATTGTTTGTGAGCCCTTTTTTGTGTTTGACAGTTACTGAGACAGCCAAACTATGCTATCTCCCAGTTCTTTGTGTTAGAAAGAAATGGCCTCTTGAACTCCACATGCTCCTTCACCTCACTTTAATGTATCATGTTAGTTTTTTTTAATTCCAGGTATATTTTCAGTTCATGTGGACTCCTCTTGGCTTTGGCTCATGTTGGCTGAGGCGATGCTGCATTTGCATCTTTCCTGTGATTTTGTGTGTAACCATGGTGTTTGTAAATTTTGCTTTGGGCTGTGAATGCACAAAGAAGCATGATATGTACTGTACTTGTTTGTAAAATCCATAATGAACGTGCGACTAGGGAGTACGCAAAACATCCATGTTTTGTTTTTTTTTCCCACCAGAGGCTTGTCTAAACATGTCATTTTGTTTGAAAACATGGACAAGGAGCTTGTTACCATTGGTTTTGTTTGATGGCAACTCCTAAACACGCTAAGTGCACCCCCTCTGGATACCTCAAACATCGCAATGATATTTCCCCACCTACAGCGAAGGAGCACTCCCCCCTCCCCTGTAGGGAGTGTCTCGTATTACTGTAAAGCCACATTTTTGGAAAAACAACATTTTGATACAATAGAAATGTCCAGCCTTCCTCACTCCCTCTCTCTATGAAGATAAATGTGTTCACTTTCCTGACCATGTTGTTTCAGGCTGCCTTACAGATACAGCAATGGCTTGTTATTCCCAGGCCATTTCCTCCTTCAGCAAAAGCAGCTTGCTGCAGGACTCCTCAAATGCCTTTGTACAATGAAAGTGAAGCTTAGCTCAGAGCAAGGGAGGGGTGGGTGGAGTGGTGAATACGAGGTAACGCGAGACCCACTGACAGCTGAAAACAGCGGCATGCGGTGGAATTTAACACACTACACCTATACCCGCAGCTGTGGAGGCCTGGAATTGGACACACTACACCTATACCTTCAGGGGTCTTGAGACTGCACACAGAGCAGTGGAATCAGCAGGTTCATGACTAACAAACCTTTGCAACTTGCTGCTACAACAATTTGTTTTTCTTTGGTTTAGATGATTTGTGTTGTGTGTGTTTTTAGTTACAGTAACATTAGCATCATCATTATTTAAAGACAGAGTTCAACATTTTGGGAATTATGTGTAATGAAATATGTTGCTGTTATCTGCTTTCTTGCAGAGATTTGGATTCAGACCATTCTCATGTCTGTATGTATGTACAGAGAGCAGCCTGTCAGCTTAGGCCACCATAAAGACTGTAACCAAGGGGAAACCGCTAGCCTGGCTCTGTGTACAAACAGAAATGTATGCATTGTATTAAAGAAGCAAAATGTAAAACTAAAATTACTGCTTTGCGGTTATATGCCTCTGACAGTCAAATTAAAGAGATAGGCAAACCATTAACACATATTTTTAACATGTCATTTCGACTTGGGCAGTTCCCTAACAATATGAAAATTGCAAAGGTTATCCCTCTGTATAAATCTGGTGATAAACACAACTTCACAAATTATAGGCCGGTTTCTCTGTTGTCACAATTTTCAAAAATTCTGGAAAAACTCTTCAATAACAGATTAGATACATTTATTGATAAACATAAAATCCTCTCTGATTGTCAGTATGGTTTTAGGTCGAACCGGTCGACATC